ACGTCATCAGCCACTAGATGGCACCCTTAGTCTCCACTGCAACACAAAGACATGCACACAGAGGTGGGACAGGTATCTGCCGAGACGTCATCAGCCACTAGATGGCACCCTTAGTCTCCACTGCAACACAAAGACATGCACACAGAGGTGGGACAGGTATCTGACGAGATGTAATCAGCCACTAGATGGCATCCTTAGTCCACTTCCAAAGACAACACCCTTTCATGGACTCACTGTAGAGGGTGGAGTGTAGAGCTGGACAATTCAATTGATTTATTAACATAATCAACTACCTATGAGCAGTGTCATGTAAACTAATCAATTAATCAAAATTAGGATTCCAGATTATTATATTTTAGATTGAAATATTGACACCAAACTTGCTCACGCCATCTTTGTTATGGCAAAGTTGCTAAGGCTATATTTAACTGCTAACTAGAAGGAAAGCTAACATCTGTCAGCATCTTCACCAACCTATTTTTTCTTGTTTGTTTGAACACTGTACTGGTTGATTAATGGGGCCATCAATTTTTCAATCAACAAATACCACTAATTGCCCAGCTCTACCTTCAAGTCCAACCAGCCAATCTGCTAATCCTCACATATTAACATAAACCTAGTGTTCAGCCCTAGTGAGGTACTTATAATTTCAACCCTACAATTAAGTCTTGGCAGTATCCTGACACAATTAAGTTATGGCCTTTTTCTTTAAATGCCTTATATCAACCCCCTGTACTTATCAATTAGCTTCTCCAACCTACCTGTTACAACAAAGACTGCATAACAGCTAAAATCCTTTACTACATCATTTCCATTGTCAATCATATCCTCCACCCCTACCCCTAGACAGCATAATTCAATTTGTTTGTCCTTACCCAACAGACTATCCTCTATACACACAGCACCATGAATAATTTATCATTTTAACCTCCTTAAGTTTTTATTTTTTTTCTTTTCTAAGTCCCTTTTGTTTTCCTTCCCACCCAATTCCTCATCTGCACAAGCAGTAATAGGATAAGTAAACCCATAAATCTTAACATTTAGAAATAATGCACTTATTTTTAACTGAAATACCAGATGCTTCCCAATTTCCCTTCTAGTTTTGTAATCTTCCCTTACAAAATTTCTCATGCTTACAACCTATATTTATAGCTTTTAGGAACATCGTGGCTCAAAACATTACTATAACATCAATATTGGTTAGTTACCGATATATCAAGCAGACAAGACAGTGAGTAAGCTCTTATACTCGCCTTTTTCTTTTTCTTCTTTCTTCTTTTTTTTTGTTTAATAATAATAATAATAAGCAATATCTGTAAGTTATCCCACCATATTATAATATCAATTAAAATTAATAATTATTTTGAGAAACTAATAACGTAAAGAGGATCTTACCTGCAGTTTGGTGGTGGATCCACTGTAATCTCTGCCAGCTCTTTCTGAATTCTAACAAGACACGTGATATTCATAAGTTTTTAAAATTAAACACTGTTAATTTTAGTAATTCAAAACTTTCTTTACATTTATATCGCAACTTTTTATTGTAACAGATGCTTCGAGTAAGACTAGTTTATTTGCTACAAGGACCTGACACTGACGGTAATTCCACCTGTATAAAGATTGCATGTAGGATCACGAAAACAACAGTATTTCTGTTTTATATTTATAGTAAAGCAGGCAAACTGTGAACTACTGACCAAAGAGAAAGCAGCCAGTCGGCAGCACCCTACTGTCAACGTTAATAGATTGACTGTCACTTTTATTATGTACTCAGAGCTTCAAATTCAGAGAACATCTTGTAATATTGCACCAATTCTAACCTGGTAAGACTAGTTTATTTGCTACAAGGACCTGACACTGACGGTAATTCCACCTGTATAAAGATTGCATGTAGGATCACGAAAACAACAGTATTTCAGTTTTATACTTATAGTAAAGCAGGCAAACTGTGAACTACTGACCAAAGAGAAAGCAGCCAGTCGGCAGCACCCTACTGTCAACGTTAATAGATTGACTGTCATTTTTATTATGTACTCAGAGCTTTAAATTCAGAGAACATCTTGTAATATTGCAACAATTCTAACCTGGTTTGCCAGCTCCAAAACCCAGAGCTCTATCATAGAGCCAACCTGCACCTCCATAAAAACAAAAGTTAAATTAATGGTAAGCAAAATAGGAGAAAGGTAAAGAGATGGTATGGAAGGGCTTATTTGTAATGATTAGAGATAGCTAGATTACTAAGTTCTACTTTTTAAAAACATTTTACTAATGACAGTTTAAGAAATATTCACAACCTTGAACAGTTCCTAGATGAAACCAGGATCGAACAAGATTATCACATTAATTCCCAGCTTGTTGAGAAGAAATTGGGAAGTTGAATGAATAATAAGGCTCCTGGACCAGTATTTTCCCAAGCATTTTGAAGGAGGTTAAGGACTGGATATGTGAGCCACTCAATAATTAATTTTTTAACTCCTGGAATAGTGGGCAAGTGCCAGAAGATTGAAAGTTCACTAGTATTACACTTTTCAAAAAGAAGTTATAAAAACTGCCCATGTAATTATACTTTATAGGCTTATTAGTCTTGCATCAATGGTGGGAAAGTTTGGCTAAGTCATTTAACAAAGCTTAAAACTTTATTAGATAGTCAACACAGTTTAACTAGGGCAAAAAATCTTGCTCTACTAATCTTTGGATAGTCTTTGAAGAGGTTACTGCTTATGTAGATGAGGTTTAGGGTTTGGTGTATCTGGATTTTCATGATAAAAATGCCATCTAAAAGGCTTATTAAAAAAGCTATCTCTACAGATGTGGGGGGGGGGGGATGGCTCATTGGATAGAAAACTAAGTAGATGGAAGAAAGCAGAGGGTTGTTATAGATGGAGTTTAGTCAAACTGGATCAAGATAGCAAATGGAGTACCTCAGGGCTCATTGTTAGGACTTTTAAGTTTACATCAACAACACAGATGAAGGAATGGTCAATAAAATTCTTAGATCTGCTGATGATATTGAGGTCTTGAGTGTTGATAGTGCTGCTTTACAAATGGATTTAGATTATTTAGTGGAATTGGCAGATGGCTTTTAATTATGTAAGGTTATACATGTGGGATAACAGAGTTATGGAAGAAAAGGATTATGGTGTTCTGGTTGATCAGTCTCTTAAATCATCTATACAATGTACTGTTGCTAGTAATACTGCAAATACGATTTTAGGTTGCACATCCAGAGAAATATTGAAATCCAGTCTAAAGAGGTTATAATTTCACCATACAGGTCACTATTGATGTCAAATTTAGAGTACTGTGTTCAGCTTTGGGCTTCTTACCTCAGGAAGAACCTGGAATTATTGGATAGGGTTTATAGAAAGGTTAATATGATGGAAAGGTTGTCATACAAGGATAGTTTAAGAAAAAAATATGAATTACAGAGGAGTGAAGTGAGGTATCTGAGGGAATTGATAGTGTTGATGCATCATATTTTTTTTGTACTTAATGGTGATAATGGTAGAACTGTGGGACACAAATATAAAACTTGGCAAGGTGGAGTCTTCTTCAACTAAGACAGTTAGATTTTTCTAACAGAGTGTTGGCCTTTGGATGTGGTGCATGCAGTAAATATGAGGGAGTTAAGTAAGGCTTGATAAATATTTGAATTATAAGGGCTGGCTTTGAGTATTATACTTTCAAGTAGGTCTTGTCAGTCTTATTACAGAAACTGAAGAATGTCCTTAAAGACACAAAACAGGTATTTAAGATTTTATATACATATTTTTATTTATTTGTTTTAAATTAAAAATAGTTTGTAAAACCTTTTTATAGTTTTATTTAGAAGTTAAACCTTAGTTTAGTTAATGAAACAGCCCACATGAACCCTTATAATTATTTGTTGTCTGTACATTTTTTTGCAGTTATATTTTGAGATAATGAACTCTGATTCTTATTAAGTGTAACTGGAAACTTGTCCCTCTTTGGTTAAACTTGAACAGCCAATAATTATTATAAATAGTACAGTAAATTAGTCACTGAAAATGTGAAATTAGTGTCTACTATAAATTATAATGAATGCTTTTGCTATGCAATTGTCACTACTCTAACTGCTATAAAAAACAAATTATATAATATTATTGTTATCACGTTATAATACATGAATTATAACTTAAATATACTTGTTATGTAGGCTGTTGCATTTAATAAAATTAAATAAGGTTTAGTATTAACTATTATTGCTAGAAAATATATGCCAAATAGAGAATGTAATATTATTAATATTATCATCCTTACCTTTTGGCACTAGTACTAAATGCTTTTGACATCTTCGGGTTTAATTTTTGATCTTTGTCTCGATCTTCTAGTTGAAATTGAACCGGCGAAATTGATCGTTGTACGTTGTTTCCGCGATTAATAGTACTAGTACTACTACTACCAGTGCACGCGCTAAAACCTTCAACTGGCCCTGGGAGAGAACGATTGGTAGACATAGTTCAGGGTTAAACATAAAACAGGTGTTACACAGAGTACTATACTTATTACTGTAATTTTTCTATGAAAAAATGCCGATTCAAAACAATAAAATTATAATATTTGATAGCTGCACTACACCATACACAACACTACTAGTACTACTCTAGAAGTAGCAGCGAGTATTTAGATAATTGTCTTTGCAACAGTGAAAATACGGCTTATTACGATTGTACGCTAACTATCCGTACAAAAACCTTATTATAAGTATTATTTCACTGTTAATTCCAAAGTGCAATAGTTAAAAAAATGGTTCTTCCCTTCTATCGTTAACTTACAAGGTACAGTACTATTATATTGTTAACAAATTTCTCTACTGATTATTACGTTATCCGCTTAAAAGTCAAGTTATTGGTTGTTCCAAATGTTTTGTGACCCCTCTCCCCCACACACACATATTTTGCTCTCCATTGTAAACCTAAATTGCTGGTGGAAGGGCAAGGTTGGGTCGAATGAGATGAGGTTGAAGAGTCACAATAGGTAGTACTTGCTTGATGTTCGTCAAAAGTAGGTTACTAGCTCACGTATTTTGAAGCGGGGTCACACGCTTTGCTAGTAGCTGATTCTGTATAACAATGTTAACAACAGCGCTGTAATATTTTCGAACACCTTGAGTTGATCAGTTTAGTAAATTTTCATCTTGAATTACATAAAATATAACTCAGAGCGTGTAGAAACTCCATGTACTACACTTTGTTCAACATGTTTGTACATATTAAAGATGATACTGATTGTAATGTAGGTGTAGAGTGACCCTAACCTTGCGAGATGTGAGAAACCATTTAAAGCTATAATTTGACGTATGCAAAAAGTCTCAATTCTGGAAATAAAGTAGTAATACAAATGTTTAAAATTATATAATAACGTAGCTAAATTTATATTTTTGATGAGTGTAAAATTGTTTCTAAACATTTCAATAAGCCCCGGCATGGCCAGGTGGTTAGGGCGCTTCAAGGCCCGGCATGGCCAGGTGGTTAAGGTGCTTGACTCGCAATCTGAGGGTCGCGGGTTCGAATCCCCGTCACACCAAACATGCTCGCCCTTTCAGCCGTGGGGGC